TCTCCTTCTTGGCCCCTCTCTAGAGGAGATGGTGGGGGGCGGAGAGGAGAGCTTTCTTTCTTACTAAGGTACAGACATGCTGTGTGCTGTGATTTAGGAGAACATGCCTGGGTTGTTCTTTTTTGAGACAACGTCTCCTCTAGCTCCTTGTTGGCCTCGAACTTACTCTGTAGTCAAGGATGACACTGAACTTCTGATCTGCCTGTCTTATGCCCCCTTCCCATATTCTGGGATTATAAGTGTGTACCACCATACCTAGTGTATCTGGTGATGGGGGCTGAACCTAGGGACTTGTGCATGCTAGATACGAATGCTACCCAATGAATGTTCAAAGTGCAAGTGGGCGTAAGATCTCTATGCCCCAGATAATTCATACATCCCTGATAACCCTGGACACTGGGGACTGTCTGTCTGTCTCCTGTTGGAAGTGTTCACTGAAATGAGAAGCTTACATTGACGCAGCTTGAGACAAGGGCAGCTAAGATAGGGTAGGAGAAGGAAGTAATTTGGAAGTAAGGACTTAGCTGCCCTTGCAAATTTTAGAGGGCAGTGAGCACTTGATTCTTAGGGATCTATTTGAAGTAAGAATTTTCTTGAAGTGTATTTTAGGAATACTTCAGCTGGTGCCAATGCACTGGTATCACTGGTATCAGTGTGCAGATGTAGGTAGATATGACAGATAGCAAAGACACAGTGTTCTTCCAAAGGAGCTGGATACATAGATATTAAAAATGTTCACCTAGTTGTGCAGATGCTTACAAAAGAAAGTGGAAGACGCAAACATTGGCACAAGTCAGTAGGACATCAAAATGCTTCCTTACCCCCAAAACGTCCATCTTCATAATAAATTCTACACCCTGTAATCCTTTTCCCTTTAGTAAGTGATCCAATAATTTCAGTAGGTAAAATATGCCTTTGTGCCAGGTGTCGGGAAGTGAGCATATCCAAGTGGGTCTCTGCATTGCTGCCTTATTACCCATCATTACCAATCAAGATGCCTTTGGCAGAAGCAATATGGAAGCACGTCTCTCAAGGCTTGGAGGAGCTCAACACTGCCCACTAATTGGTTGATTTCCTCAGCACTGCCCACTGATTGATTGATTCCAGCCCCACACTCACCTCCTGCAGGAACATGTAGTGAGGGCATGCATGCTGGGCGAGGCAGATAGCATAACCCAGGAGGGTCCTTCGTCACTACAGCAGTCTCAGCTCTGAAAGGCTATTCACGGCAAGAGCCCTCCAGTTGTGAACCTTGAGGATGGTTCCCACTCACACAGTCAGCTTTGGTTTTGGTCCTTGCCAAGCATGCATTTTCAGTTGGATTTTGTTTTGTTTGTTTTATGTGCATATTTTTTTTTACACTGTGTTGTATTATGACCTAAGAAATTCAGAAAGAAAACAGTTCATTATCCCTTCTTATTTATCAAGTATGGCATACCTATATTTCCACTCTCTATTTCTGTAGATACATGAGTATTTATGTGAATATGCATAAACATATTTTTGTCATGGATCCTTTGTACTCATGACCTGAATAAGCCATGGTGTTACCAGCTCTAATATCCTTTTTGTCTCCAAAATCCTGTTGAGGCAGAATAGAAAGGCAGAGCAAATGAAGGGGAAATGGAAAAGGGAAGAAGGCTCCCATGCTAAGATTCTTGTTGAATCCCTTGCCTGCCAAGAGTCAAGAGACCCAGCACAATTTAAAAACAAAACAAACAAACAAACAAAAATGCCATGGACCTTGTCTACATAGAGATATTTTAAATAACATTAAAACAGCAATGAAGCTTACTTAAGGCCAAATTGTATATGACCTTACTCTTCCCAGATGTAAACCTGAAATTTTTGGAGAATCTCACAGACAAGACTAGACGCTTTTCTTTAGAATAAGAAACAATTTCTGCAACCCCTGCAACCTTGTGACCTTGGATTTTACTGTTTCTGCTGTAATACTATCTTTTGCTCAAAAGAAAGTGTTCCTTAGCAACAATCTGAGATATGACTTCGGAAGCCACCAAAGTCATATATAAGGCTGTTACAAAAACATGTATGTGCTTTCTCTGGAGAAGCCCATAACATGCACAGGTGCCTCACCCTTCCCATCAACCCCTGTTCATTAACCCATAAGGTTAAATACATGTAAAAATCCCAAGGAACACCAACCCGGCTTCATCCTAAAATTCCTTTCTGTGCCGAAGTCAAGAATCCTGACGTCACCCAAGTTGAGATCCCTGAAACAACCTCCCAGGATGCTACAGATGTCTATCCTTTTGTCCCACTGCCATGGATGCTAGCAGCAGATTTGACACTGAAAGTAAAACAGGCGATGGAATCAAGCAAACTTAGTATGAATCCTGGCTCCACTACATTGTAGGTGGGTGACCTTAGGCAAGATCTCCGTCCACTCGTCTGTCCACCTATCCCCATGAGGGTTTCCCCTGCCTGCATTTCTCTCTCATTGATAAATACTCACCTTGTGTTTAAAGTTGACTAGATATGCAATGTTTTTCCGTCTACATCTGTGGATACTGAAGTGCATTACATAGTGTCGATATGAAGCTTCACTGTGATAATACACATGAAGGATAGAACAAGATAAGATACCCACTCACACACATCAGGTCACCTGGTAGATGACATTCTTTGGTCAGTCTGAAGGTCCAATCCCTCTGCTGCAAGTCTTACTCATTTTAGTCTAAATAATGATGGGCAGTTGCTTTCAGACATAAGAGACTCCTAGCTCGGCTTTAGCCCTCAATCTGTTACATTGTTTTCTTCTGTGCCTCTGCCTCTGAAGCATCCCTTTCATTCAAGTTTCTCTTTGAGATCTTTCTGTGGTTTCCAGGACCCAGCAAAAGGATACTGAATTTCTTCCTGGCCACTACTGACTCTCTTAAGAATTCTTAGTACTTGGCTGGGTACATGTGTGTATTCTCCTGGGGTTTCGGTTCTCAGCAAACCTGCAGTCTTTTCTCACCTTCCATTTTCTTCAGCCACTAACGCAGATGCAGGAGGCTGTGTTGTCATTGTGCAAGAAGACAGTGCATGAGCCAAGAATCAGGAAGCTCTAACCTTCCTTGCACTGCATATTAGTTCCTTTCTGCTGCTGTAACAAAACACGACATGCTGGACAGTTTATAAATAACACTTTATTTTCTCACAGTTCTGGATAGTGAAAGTCCAAGGTCACAGTGCTAGGCTGATAGGCACCTTGTGGCTTTTTCCTCTAGAAGGAAGGAAAACGATGATCCAGATGAGGGAGGGTAAAAAGTTCAAGGCACAAAGGAGCATAACCTTGTGCTTCTTACTGCGTTTCCTTTTGTGGTGTGTATGTATGCGTGTGTGTGGGCACACGTGCTCACACCACAGTATGCATCTGGAAGTGGAGGACAACCTTCTGGGGTCATTTCATTCCTTCCACCATATGGGTGTCCTAGATCTAGCTGAGGTTATCGGGTTTTAAGGCAAGCTCCTTTACCTTCTGAGCCATTACATCTAGCCCCGAACTTGACCTTTTATAAAGGTATAAATCTAACCTACAAGGGACAAGTTTTCATTTCCCAGTCACTTTCCTGAAGTCCCTTCTCCATGTAGAATGGCAGCCAGATTTTATCAATGTGTGTTTTGGACTAAACATACATGCAAACTATAAAATGTATAAAACTTTGTGACTTCCCCAATACTTTAGGCTACATACTATTTATTTAGCATTTTTAGTATTGCTTATTTATTTTTGTTGTTTGACACAGTACAACAGCAGAGGGTACTTGGTGAGCACCACTCCAAGCTCTGAAGAAAAGAATAAACAGATCACTTCTGTATCCTCTATATTAAACCATATACAAAGACCTCGTAGGGATTAGTATTCATTTCTAACAATTAAATTATTTTATTGACTCATCTTCAGGGTTAGTTATGAAATTGTTACTGGGCTTAGCAATATCTCTCAATAATTTTTCTAGATGTGCAAAGACTCTTCTACCTTGGGGACAGTGTCTGTCATAGGCAGTTACAAGAAAGTGTTAGAATGCATTCCAACTGCTCTTCTATAGATTGGGTGTTTTCTATAGATTGAATTTATATCTTCTTAAAAAATATTTTTTAATTTATGTATATCAGTATTTTGCCTGCATGTATGTTTGTGTACCACATGTGTGTAGTACCCACAGAGGCTAAAAGTAAGCATTGAGATAATGAGAGTTAATAAGGATCAGGAGAAACAAATAGACTGAATAGATGTTTATTCAGGGAGAAATAACTCACAACATAGACAGATGAACACCAGCAGGTTCCTGGTCCCAAGGATGCCTCTGGATGTTGTCCTGTCCCTGTGCTGTAAACAAGGGAGCTCCCAGAGCCCCTTCCTCAGACAGTTCCCCCAGGTAACATCTGCCTCTGTCCCCACCCCCAATGGGTGTGATCTGTGCCACAGGGACAGACAAAGTGAATATCTCACTACACACTGATCCTTTAGAAAAAGAGTCACAAATGGTTTGTGAGCTGATACATGGGTGATGGGAATTAAACCTGGGTCTTCTAACTCATACTTAGGATACTTCTGTATTTAGCATCAGTTAATGTCTTTTGTAGTTATTTTTATTTAACCTACAGGGTATAATGTTTCTATTCGTGTGTGTGTGTGTGTGTGTGTGTGTGTGTGTGTGTGTGTGTGTGTATGTGTGTGTATGTGTGTAGTGGTATAGGACAATGCAGAATATATTCCATTTATATTCCTAGGTTTTATCTTGAGACAGTATCTCATAAACTTAGGATCTCCTTTCCCTCAACTTTAGGGTTGAGGGGTTACAGATTAGCTTCCCTTAGCATTTTGTGGTATTATCTACAAGCTTAATTGAAATAAGATGCTGTTAATTTGGGGACAAAATGTCTTTGCGTTGCTGTGAGATTCTGTCTGTGCTGAAGATAAAAATGACATCTCACCATTTGGTTTGCGAAATCTAGACCCTTCTAATTTTCATTTTCTTTTCTCTCCTCAGTTTGCTGTTTTGTGGTCCATAAGAGGTGCCATGAATTTGTTACATTCTCCTGTCCGGGTGCAGATAAGGGACCCGACACTGATGTGAGTAATCGGGAAACTGTCCTTTGATGTTAGTGTGATGTCTGAAGTTATTTATTTTGTATAGCCTATACAAGCCTTGTTCTGGAACATGCTATTATTAAAAAGACATCTCTGTTTTCTCACTTTGTCTTGTAGTAATGAACATGTCCATCATCCTTCTGCACTGTTTCTCAGAGGGATCCTCAGAGGGAAATCATTAGCTTGTATTTTTCTACTGTGGGTGACCACATAGGTTAATCCACCGAGTTTATAGCAACAACTGTATGGATGGATACATTGTAAAAAGGGCACTGGCCACCTTTCAGCTTATCTTTAGAAGTTTGTGCATTATTAAGACAGCCATCCATTTGTTTTGAGCATTTTAGCAAAACTGCCCTGGTTTGCACAGTGATATCAATGCTACATTTTCATCCTGAATCATAAATGTCTCCATTAAAGGCATCCTGTGGGCAACTGTTTCAATGACCGCAATCTCTGAGATGTCCAGGGATTTTATTTCACTTATTTACGTCTGGATTGTCCCTGTTCCTATGGAGCATGTCAGGTTTGTGCCTGTTTACCAAAATACAAGACCAGCAGAGGACATTGAGAACCAGGAGAAAATGAAGTACCAGTGTCTGAAATGCATTAGGTGGAAAGAAACTTGGTGTCACATGAAAAATAATGATTTAACTGAAAAAACATATCTAGTCTGAATTACTCAGGCGTGATTAATTACCCCTAAGTTATGGGTTTTACATAGTTCTCAACTATGGCACCGACTCCCACCAGGAAACTGATTTCAAAGTGGCTTTCTCAGTGAATAAGGAAGTTTCTCAGAGGGTGATATTTTCACACTGGGCTCTGAGGGATTCCGATTTCCCTTTCTGTAACCCATGCAATAAAGGAATTTACCTTTTGTGGTTTGATTAAGGTGTTGGTAGAGAGAGTATTGCAATAACCACTACCCACTGCCTCTCTGAAACTGTTTTGACCAAAGCTTTGGGCAGTACTAATCTGTGAGCATGGATATTTCTAATTCAACTTGATGGATACAATGTGTCCATTCAGCAGAACAATGGTGATACTTTCCACACTAGAGTCTATGACCTCCCCAGCCACAGGCTTTTGACCAGGTTTATAGTACCAGGCATCAGTTCCCTCTGGGGCAGGGAATGCACTCAATCAGAAAGTGCTTGGTTACACCTATGCAAGCTATGCCACTATTGTACCAATGGGTACATCTTTCCCAGCAAGTCAGTATGATAGAATACTAGGTCCACAGTTGGATAAGAGCTTTGATAGCTTTTCACTCCCAGCATTCCAGCATTACCAAAAGTAGCCAGCAGGAAGAATGCTTCCAGCTCAGTTCTAATCAAAGCTACAGCATCTTCAGTGACCAGTCTTACTATGTCGTTCTGACAGGCAACCAAGAGCAGTGACAGGAGCCCATTTTGTTTTGGGGAGGGGTGCTTCAGGGGTCTCACTGATGAAGCCCTCATAGGAAAGTAGCCCACCCCTGGCATTGATACTCTATCTTCCGGGGGTGGTTTTATTCACCCATGAAGGGAACTTCTAATTTTTAACTCATATCTTTTAATTGATTTGCCTTTTTTATAACCCTTAGTTTGGGATGACCCTCCTCTACCCAACTCCATCTCCTCTGCACATCCATCACTTCTTAAAGCTTTGTGCCCCTGATGGTAACCTCTTTCCTTTCTAAACACATGTGTTCTCTACTGTCCACCCCATCTCCCAGACCTCTTTTTATCCCCTCCTCTCATGGCCTAGCTTCCTGGCCTCAATACACATCACTCCCACATCCACATACATATATAAAAATTGGAAGCTAAGACCCAGATATGAGAGAGAACATGTGGTGTTTGTCTTCCTGCACCCGGGTTTTCTCACTAACTTTCCTAAAACGCTGACGTCCTGTTGTTCATGTTTCAAGTTATCCCAAAGCAACATGTGCCAGTCCTTTTGTTTCCTTAGGCATCCTTCCGTCTTCTTCCTCTTGTCTGGTCCTTCCTCATTTCTTTACTATCCCTGCTATGCCCCCATCAAGAATGAGAAGGAACAGTCAGGTTACTGGGGCATGAACAGTTCTTAGCATCTCTCTCTTCCTACATTTTCAGTTATGTATCAGTTATTAAAAATCTATAACGAACCATAGCATGCCTTGAATCTTGTGGTACAACAGTTAACACATAGCTGTCTGCTGTAGCCTTTGCGGGCACTGTTCTGGGGGAAAGTGTGACTCATCCTGCGTGGTTTGGTTCAGGAAACCTGATTGGGTCAACTTGGGAATGAATAAACTACAGATACACATGCAGAAAAGCTGGCAGTGGGTGGATTGTGTTCACCCTGATGGAGGGCACCTACTCTGTAACCGAAACACTCAGCACATTTATTATATACAATACAAGGGGAGGAGTATAAGCTGGTGTTCATGGAGATCTCTGTAGGGGAACAATCTCAGGTTGCAGTCACCCTGGAGGAGGAAGCTGTGGTTGCTGGCTTTTGACATACTATTCAGTCTTTTGTACACACTTGTGCTTGGACCAGAGAAAGGCTTTGCCATGCTTCTGGGATTCACACAGAGAAAGGGTTGCCCTTTACGCAGACCTGAGGCATTAATTAAGGCCCTTGACATGGCCATTCTTATGTCAACAGTGCCATGTTCACTCAAGACTTAATCCACTTCCCCCAAACATGGGCATTAAAAAGCCACCAGTTAAAGCGGGACACCTGTATATTGAGTAAGTAGTATCCTTAAAAGCCTAAGTGCTCATGGAAGAGCTCCTTGATGAAATAGAATTTAAACTGAGCTTAAACAATGGGCAGGAAGCAGGCAAAAGGGAGTGTGTGTGTGCATATATGCATGCATGTGCTTGTGTGCGTGTGCACCATCTCGTGTGTGTGTGTGTGTGTGTGTGTGTGTGTGTGCGCGCGCGCGCGTGCGCGTGCACTCATGCGTGGGCATGTGTATGTCTGTGTGGGTGTGGGGGTCTAAGGAGCTGCAGAAGGAATTGTTCTCAAACAAGGGGAAAAGGCAGGTAGGGAGGCCAAGATGTAGGAAGGAGCTTAATCTGAAGGTGCTGGAGAAGGATAAGCACTAATGTCTCTTTAAGGTTTTGGAATACAATCTCAAAAGCAATAGGAGCCCAGGGAAAGTTTTAAGTGAGTTATGTCACGCTACAAAGTATCTGGTGAATGTTTCTCAGGCCTTCTTTTAGGAGATACATTAGGTGTGAAGTGAGAAGAGTCAAAGGACTGGAGAAGCTCCTCTCTCCAGGGCACAGAGACAGGAGTTAGAAGCAGTGGAGACAGGTGGAGAGAACACACTAAAGAATTTTTGATCCCAGCACTCGAGAGGCAGAGGCAGGCAGATCTCTCTGAGTTCCAGGCCAGCCTGGTCTACAGAGTGAGTGCCAGGACAGGCGTGAAAGCAATACAGAGAAACCCTGTCTTGAAAAACAAAACAAAACAAAACACAAGAATTATTTGAGAACCAAATAAGTGGTCCTTGGCTTTTATTAGGTCGGGGAGATGGGGATACTGAGCATGAGCTCCAGGTTTCTGAACCAAGGACTTGGATGGATGGAGGCACTTTAGGGCCATGGAGACACTGAAGGGAGAACATACATTTGAGAGAGGACAATGGGAACAGATCATGGCTTCAGTTTGGGTGTGCTGAGCTTGGGAAGTCTGACCCTGAGAAGACAGTTGTGTGTGGAGCAAGTGTGAAGGTCTGAAGTGGGTGTGCCCTGAAGACAAAGATTTCATGGTTTTGTTAAGCCTGAGGGATTGATCCTGTGGCCTAGAAAGAGGGTGTTGAATGAGATTAAAAGGAGTTAAGTCCTAGGATAGAGCTTCTTGGAACTCCAGCCCATTAGAGAGAGGAAGGCCAGGGAAAGAGACCGAGAAGGGGCAGTCAAAGAAGCAGGAGGAAGGTGATGGAGGGGGCGGGACTTTGGTGGGGGAGTGTCTTTTGTATGCTTTAACCACGTCCTGTATGGTCTTCAGGCCAATTCTGTGATCATGTTTGCAGTTGTGGAGATTCTATAATTTGTGATATTGTCCACAAATAAGCAATGCACCATTCCCTGCACTTTGCATGGGAAAGCCTTGGCTTAGGTCATAGATCAATTGATGCAAGATGGTTTCCAGCAGTCTCTCCTGCTGAATGGTTTCCTGTTTGGATGAGTGTCATGTGATCACTCCTGCTCCAGGAGCCCAGAACCAGGCAGAGAATCCTCTGCTTGGTGTGGGATGCCATGCCATGTGTGCTCTGATACCCAGCTAAGTCCTGCTCTGTGTGTGGGCTGACTAATTGCAGGCAACGGGTCTCCACATCCTTAAAGGTGATGTTAAGAGGTGACTTTTTCAATATAAGAGAGAAAAGAGGTTCATGGGACATAAGATGTAAGGACTAGTTAGCCCCGTCTGGTTCACAAAGGATTGTGTATGCTCTTCCAAGAGCATCTGCCTCTGCTCTTTGGAGCTCAGAGACTCATGACCAGGGCTTTCTGACCTTTGTGTCCATGGAGGTAGCTGTACAAATCTGCAGAAGAAGATGATCATGCTGAACCACACCAGCAAGGTATTGGAAAAAGCATTCTGGTTGTAGAATTGCCCTGAATGGTCAGCTGGTTTGGCTAGACCTGCTAGCAGTGAGCTCCAGAAATCCATGTTTCTACCCACTTCAGCACTGGGATTACAGGTGCATGCCAGTGTGTCCAACTTTCATCGTCCAACTTGGGTTCTGGGGACCCAAGCTCAGGTCCACACACTTGTGTAGCCAACACTTTACCCACTAAGCAATCTTCACAGACCATCTGCTTCTCTGAATAAGTTCCACATTCACAGAATTACAAGGCTGAAAGGGTATTGAAGATTGATCTAGGTTAACCTTGTTTTATAGTGAAGACACTGAGGCATAGTGGAGAAAGGTATAAATGACCTGGGTACCATTGTATACTGTTTGTTGGGACGCCTAATGGGTTTGTGGTCAGCTC